AGGTTCCCCATGGCCAATGATAAATGGCGCTTCCTACATAGTCTGCATTTGCCTTAAGAAAATCCACAGACTATGTTCAATAATGAGGTTCTCTAGTTTACCAGACACTGGTATACCAAGGAGCACATCCATAGTGAGTATTTTTACAGTGATAACTTTTCAGGAAATGTTTTCCTTTCTTTTTTTATTTCTGCTAAGTATGACAAGTTTGCTTCTAATTGTTCCTTGACTGAAGTCATATTTGGGAGCAGGGGTGGGGTTCCAACTGAATGCATCAAAGATCCCTTAAAGAACCCCAAACTGAGGCCGGTGCCGTGGCTCACTAGGCTAATCCTCCGCCTTGCGGCACCAGCACACCGGGTTCTAGTCCCGGTCGGGGCGCCGGATTCTGTCCCGGTTGCCCCTCTTCCAGGCCAGCTCTCTGCTGTGGCCAGGGAGTACAGTGGAGGATGGCCCAAGTACTTGGGCCCTGCACCCCATGGGAAACCAGGGTAAGTACCTGGCTCCTGCCATTGTATCAGCGTGGTGCGCCTGCATTGGAGGGTGAACCAATGGCAAAGGAAGACCTTTCTCTCTGTCTCTCTCTCTCACTGTTCACTCTGCCTGTCAAAAAAAAAAAAAAAAAAGAATCCCCAAACTGAGAGAACTCCTGCCTCCCTTTGATTCCATAGAACCTAAGTCCAAATATGTGCTTTTGGCAACTGCAAAAATTTATTCCATATTCTACTTAAACATCTGCATTTTAGCTTTCTTCTAAAATGACATGTATATGTAACTTTATTGTTTTGAATTCTTCAATCTTTTATGATTACAATGTATTTATTTATTCAAGTTTTTATGTGAGAGACAGAGTAGTGCTCCCATCTACTGATTCACTCCCTGAATACCATTAATAGCCAGGGATGGGCCAAGGCCAAAGCCAGGAACCAATCCAGGATCCCACATGGATGGTAGGGGCTCAATTGCTTGTTATAATCACTGCTTTGAGACTCTACAGTAGCAGGAAGCTGGATTCAGAAACCAGAGGCAAATATTGAACCCAAGCACTTTGAAATAGGATGTAGTCATTTTTACCACTAGACCAAATGCTCACCCCATGTTTATAATTTCTGTATTTTGTTTAGCATTTAAACATCAGTCTACCATCTCATTTAAATAAAAATTAACTATAAGAATTATTTTATTGACTTATTCAACATGTTCCCTAATGATGAGATATTTTTATTCATAGAGAGAAAGGAATAGTAGTAGAGAGGATATTACTAGCATATGGTATATTTTTATAATGGATGTTATACTCATAATGTGTAATGACCAGAAAAATGCTAAATTTAGGATAGAGAAAAGAAAGGCAGATAAAGTAAACATCTAGATCCTGAACACTTTTATTCCATATCAAATAAATCACCTGATGCAATAGAGAGCCAAGCACCTAGCATAATGATGATAGATCGTTTTATATCTTTTACAGAGGAAGTCAGAGTAAACATAACAAACAAAAGACACGTTCATATGTATATTTTTTGAAATAGTTAATCTACATGATTTACTCAAAAGTTAATAACTATTTAGGTAATTTACATAGGTCACTGCTACAGCTTCTCAAAAATTCAAATATATGTCATACGTTAATTGTGCCTTATGTGTTAATTAGGGTCTTTGATGGGTATTAGGAATATTTTATTCTTTATTTTTAGAATTTTTCCATTTTATTTGATGATAAAACAAAAACGTTGGAATAAGTTGAGACTAAAGGGACAACAAAGGAAATGCACTTTATTATTGGAGAAGTCAACAGAAGGAACTAACAGAAACTACACGATCAGGAAAGACCTCTCAAGGGAAGTGACATTTAAGCCGAGACCTGAAGGAAAGGTAAGACTTGACCAGTTTTGGTTGTTTATACAGTGAAGAGGAGAAGACAGAGAGGGGAATGTATTCTGCCAGCAGGAACAGCATATATGAAGATTTGCAGGAGACAGTACCTCGTGCATAGAAGGGGCCTATCTGAAGGGTAGTGTATGAATATAAGAATAGATTGAGAAGTCATTTGAAGTTCAGATTCCTTCTAAGAAATTAAACACTCACCAAATTAACATAATTAATCTGAGAGAGAAGAAGAGAGGTTGTATGTATATTTGTGTTATGGGAGTAATATTCTCTGTAGTTGGTTACCAAATGACAAAGTTCACTGTAGATCCCGATGAATGGTAAGTAATCTGGAGACAAGAAAAAAAATCCAGTGTCCCCCTCAAAGAGTACTTCCTAACAAAGCATTATAAAGGAAAATGTCCATTCATGTGACAGCTTAACCATGAACAAAGCATATTGAACTGTACTGAATTGAAGCCGGTGTGAACTAGAAAAGTGAAATTTCATAAGTGAATTAACATAGTACATATACTGTATGGGGGCTTATTTACTTTCAACCTGAGAAAAAAAATTAGATTAGATTTCAAACTTTTACCATTTAGTCTTAGATTTTGTATTCTTTTTATTCTGCATATATCTGGGATATGGTTTGGTTTACACGTGAATAGTTACCTTTTGTCTTTAAAATAGTTTATCATTATATGTGCTGAACTTAACCTTCAGTATTCAAGTGGCTTTTTTTACTGATGTACAAATGACACATCTAATATTATTATATTAGTCTAATTTTAAGAAGTAATAAAGTTATTTTATATAGTAAGTTACAAGTATAAACTTTTTCTTTATGGCTCTTAGTAGGAAAATATCAGCAACAACCAAAATACTTAAATGAATGCATGTTTTATAGCTGTACTAAGACATTAGCTAAAACAATAAAATGAAGATTTTCAGTGAATAAAATAAAAAATATTACTACATAGTAAGGATAAAGTTCAACAAAGGACAAAGTATAAAAAATGGACAGTCTTTTATCTGTTATAAGCTTGACCATGAACTCACTGTGATCTTCATTAAAACAAAAGTCCAGATACATGAACACCAAGTATCACTGAGAAATAGGACTCTGAAATAATTGATAAAAGTTACTAGAAAGAAATGAAACAAGGAAACATGTCAAATGGGTGAAAACATTCTACCTATTTAATTATGATACTAGGGAAATTTAAGGGTGTTATTAAAGGAGTATCTAGAGAATATTTAAAATTATTAAGTTTAACCAAAATATATTTCATAACCCATTTCTACATTCCCTAGAGAAGTTTCCTTCCACTGATCTTTCTTCTTTTATGATAATGAGATGGGTGCCCAGTATTGACCATTACGTTTCATACATAATCATATTGACTTGAAGCAAACTGTATGCTCTTCATAAAATTATTTTCCTGTTTAGGAGAGGACAAGTAACCTAGTGGTTAAGATGCCCACATCCCACATTGGTGTGCCTGGTTTGATTCCTGGCTGCAGCTTCTGATTCAGCTTCTACCAATGCAGATCTCGGAAAGCAGTGATGATGGCAGAAATAATTGGGTTCTCGCCACTCACTTGAAATACCTGGATTGAGTTCTTGACTCCCTGCTTTAACCTTGGCTCAGTCTTTATGTTCAGAGACTTTGAGGAGTGTACCAGCAGATGGGAACAATCTGCCTGTCTGTCTGTCTGGCTGCTTCTCTCTTTCTACCTCAAATAAAGGAAAAGCTAATTTGAAAGAATTAAAAGTAAAACAGTACTTCTGTTTACTCCCTTTCCTCAACACACCATGAATTCATATGTAATTCATGCATTACTCTGAGTCATGGAAGACTGACATATGTCACTGCCCAGGTGCTTCTCTCCTCCAGTAATTATAGTTTTCTTAGCTTTTCTAAGCGCTTTTGATTTGGCTTTTTTTTTCATTTTGAAACTCTTTATCTTTCCTGTTCATAATTTCTGCCATTGCTGCCTCTTTATGTAATTTCACTGTCATTTGGTATTTATGACTTCCTCTAATTTAGCCTCATCAATTTTTAGTCTAAAAAAATTCAGGTTGAAATTTAAATTACATTGGTCCCATCAGTTTTCTTTAATTTGTTTTACTGTGTAGAGCAATAATAGGGATTTTAATGAACATCATCTTAATAAATTCTCTGAATCCTCTGAAGTGATGTAATGATATAAATTGTGTCCAAGCTCTCAATTTATCACATTCTACAGATTAAATAGTTATTTTTTTTCCCTAAGACTAGGATTTTAAAAACTTCACAGGTGACAAGACCTGTTTCAATTCATGCCATGTTCAAAAATCCTCTGTAGCCAGGCCGATGTAACCCTTTCTTCTTCTTATATTGCATGCTTTTTGTACCAGTCACTTAGCACTCATCAAAGCCACTTTGTAGAGTAAATTAGATTTTAAAATACCAATTTATGCTATAAACTATAGGTAGAGACTCTATCCTATAATTGTTTTATGGACAAGCTGTATCCAAATCACTTTTCCAAGCTTTGTTGCTTTGTTTTCTTTGCTCCTAATTCAAGGGCCTAATGCAGTAGATTCTGAGTTGATCATGAATAGGTCCTAGTAAATATATGTTTTCTTTAAATGTTTATTTATTTATTTGAATATCAGAGTTTCGGGGAAGCGGGGGGGAGGGGGGTGAGAGAGAGAGAGAGAGAGAGAAAAGGTCTTCCGTCTGCTGATTTATTCCCAAGATAGTTGCAAGAGCCAGGGCTGGGAGGGGAGAAAGCCATGAGCTTCATCCTCTTCTCCAACGTGGATGGCAGGAGCAGGGTGCTGGATTGGAAGTGGAGCATCTGGGAAAGGAACAGGAGCCCATAGGGAATGCTGACATCGTAGGCAGTGGCTTTATCTACTTTGCCACTATGCCGGCCCAATAGTACATGAGGTTTTTAACAGATTCTGGAAAAATCTGATTCTGTAAATTATTCCTAGAGTACCAACTACTTTGTATAAATGATTAATGCTAGTAATTCCAAATAATACAAATATCTCTTAAGGGAGGGTAAATGTTTAGAGTGATGATGCGGAAAATAAAATGATTAAAAATGAGTTATTCTTAGGTAGTTTCAAAATGCTATAATATTTTGTATTCAGAATAAGTAATGGTTTCATTTATATTCATTTCACCTCTCTTCCAAACCTTAGCAATATTCCTCTTCTTGAAGGGATTGATTCCTTTCAATTCACTTGGTTCAGTCCCAGTTCAGTTTGGTTCAGTTCAGTTTCTGCCAGGCACTGTTGTAGACTGTTTAGAATGCAGAGTTCAAGTTGCTTACAGACTAGAAAGTGAGAAGAAATAATTAATGCTCTCTTAGTTGATAGGTGTTTTGATGAAAATAAGAGTTGCATTCAAAGAGATCTAACAAGCAGAACTTAAATTTTTTTTTTTACTTTTCCCTACTCTTGTACTATATGTATATATGACATACAATACATTTGGTAAATATGTTATTTATACATAATGTATGTATAAGTAATGTACACACATGAATATATGTCTATTTATATATGTGGAATTTATAGTACATACCCTCCAAATGTAAATATGTTTGCTATCCATAATAAATAGTTACTATTAAGTACTTACTAACATTGAAGAATGCAGCCCTGCTATATGAGTTCAAGATGATTTTGTAAATTAGTATATATCCAGACTCTATAGAAAAAGAATAATTATATGGAATAGTTCAAACAGAGGAAGTGTGGTTTTTATAGAGAATGCATAGGTAAACTATCGTGATTAGTTAATATGTTAAGTAGATAGTAACATGAGATGGATACCTTCAAGTGACATTGGCAATGAGAGTTTAAGAAAGATGATACACAAAGCAACAGGAAAACCACAATGTAATCTGCATTTGTCTCTCATTCTAATAAGCCTCACACAAATTCCAAAGCTCTATGGCCCTTTACCACAGCTCCATCATTTCTCCTCCAAATTTACATATGTTGTAGAGAAAGCTGTGCGACAGTTTTATGTAACAATTTGTGTAATGAGACCTTGACCTCAACTTGGGAAATTCTGACAAGCAGATAGGAAATAGTTGTGCATGATACGCCAACATAAACAATTAGACTCAATACTTAGAATCTAAGTCCAGTATATTATGGCATGATTTCATGAACCTTGCATCAGAAGCACCCAAGCTGGAAGTGACTTTATATCAATTGCATTGGATCTCAGGAGGAGTGATCTTAAATGTTAAGATTAGTGTCATGAGAAGAGTAAGGATCCATGGAGCCCATAGAAGTGCTTCTATCACCTCTGGATGTGCAAATTCCTCCATACGATAATTTTAAAATAACCTCTTTAGGATTTGTGACAATTTTGTGTTTAAGCTTTGTAGATTGAACTTAACTAATTCCAAAATCTCTTCTTCTCCATTAGTGTGCATTTCAGATGACCACAGTCATTGCTCCAAGAGACAAAAGCCGGGTATTAGATACACTGGGCACAAGAAGGAATTGGCTAAACTCATTTGTGACATTGATTAAGACCCCTCAGAAGGGCTGATATCTAAAATGAACCCTGAAGTAGGAATACGGAGTTCCAGGAGATAAGTGCAAGAGTAGTAGAGGAAAACACTCTCCATATTGCCAGGCTGGGAAAGTACAAGACAGTTTTATTTCCAAATGCAATGGTAACTTCCAAAAATGACTTTTCATGAAACCAGGCTGTCTTGGAATTTACAATTATAGTTTGCTCTTCATAGAGCAAATTAGAGAAGGGAAGTAAAGTTTTAAGGAAAATATATGTAACTTTTTTACATTTTTAATTGAAAATGTCTTTTTTATATACTTACATACTAAACTTCAATTTAATTTAGGAAAGAGATGATATTTGGGCACCAGTAAAATAAGATATAAATCTATTAGGACATATGTTGAATGGAAGCACTTAAATTTATTATCATAAATCTGTCTGGTATTAAGAAGGCACTCAAACAGTACTTGCTATAACAAGTCCCCTAAATATTTGGCTTTAGAGATAAGTGTCTGAGAAAAAAATGTCAGAATGCTATGCAGCTCTACAAATTGCAACTTTCTGTTGATTCACACAACCAAATGCATTGATCCATTACAGAGAAATAGGCTGACTTTTTTTTTTTTACTCCAACATTATACTAACTCAAGATAATTTTTATTTAGGATAGTGAAGATTAAATGTGTATAAACAGAAATGATTATTTTTCTTCCCCTACCCCATTTATTTATGTGTTTCATGAATTAGGAATTTCAGGCATAGAAAAGTTATTTGCAGAAAACAGTAAGTAGGTATTAATTGAACTGTAATTATAACACAATGTCACTTTTTTAGTCAACTGACTCTTTGGGGATAAGGAAGAATGACGGTAACCTGGGTCATGAAGTTGATATTCTTTCGATTCTATTAGTGTCTCCAAGAAATGTTTTCTGGTTGAAATGTAGGCTTTTAATACATGTACCTTTTCATTATCAATGATATATATTTCTGTTATCAGAAAAAACTCAGTATTATGATCACTTGTTTAGTTTTTCATCCCTTGTTCCCATGAGCTTTTGGAGAATGTGGTATATTATATGCTTGTTGAGTAGATAAATGGATCAATGAATCAATGAAGAACTGAACTTACGAAAGTTCTATGACTTTGTAAAAGACAGTTTTAGCCAGTGACAGGCAGTTAACTCTTGTCTTTGTTTAATGCAGATTACTTAAAAAACTTCTTATGCATCAGCCAACAAAATAAGGCACAAGAAAGATTAACATCATTGCATTTGTCATTGTACTATAAATAAAAATAGCAATATTGTTTTCCCTTTCTTTAATATACTCCCATAGATATTGAAAGCACCTGTTTACATTACTGTGATGTTTATTTCTTGACATTTATTTTCATTATGATGTATTCTCATGTCCTATTCATTTTTGAAGATTAATCTAAATATTACCTCAACAATATTCAGATTCATGATAGTGATTTATAATGCCATCTAACATATGGTAAATTTAGATATTCTAGGGGAAAGGAAAGAAAACTTGTTTGATAAAAATATCTTACAAACTTTTGCTTAAATGCACAAATATATTGCTTAAAAGCAAATGAATCAATAATATTGTCAACATGAATAGTTGCACGCATCTTAGGCAATGCTCAGTTTCCCTTTCAAATGACTTTGTTTCAATATAAATCATTTTAATGCATATTAAAAGAATCGAATAAAAACTAAACATAAACAAATTACTAATTCTGATTTCTTTTGTTTAAAGTGATGATTTTCTTAATTGCTTGTCAACCAGATGCAACCCATCAAAAATGTGTGCTTCTTAAAAACTTAGGAACAAGAATATATTGATAGGAATTCACATACAATGAAACAGTGATCTAAATTTTAACTATAAATGAACAGTTTTTTTTTAAGAATTATTTTATTTCTTTGGAAGACAGAATTACAGATAGAGGTAGAACCAGAGAGAGAGAGAGAGAGGTCTTCGATTCCACTAGTTCACTCCTAAATGACCGCAACAGCCAGAGCTGAGCTGATCCAAAGCCAAGAGCCAGGAGTTTCTTCTGGGTCTCCCACGTGGGTGCAGAGGCCCAAGGACTTGGACCATATTCTACTGCTTTCCCAGGCCATAGCAGAGAGCTGGATCGGAAGTTGGGCAGCCAGGACTCAAACCGGTGTCCATATGGGATGCCAGCGCTGAAGGCTGGGGCTTTAACCCACTGCACCACAGTGCCGGCTCTGAATTTAAGATTTTAAATGTAATAAGACTGGTTCCAGCCACATCAGTTTGATTTCAGATGAAGTGTGTTCCGTTTAATTTCTCTGTTGGAACCATAAAGGCAGAAGAGGTATCAAGTTCATTTTTTTGTCTTTTTCATCTTGAAAGGATCCTTTTAACTATTTATGAAAAAAACAGTGTAAAATATAAATAGCAGATGCATACCTATAGACTGAGATAAATAAATCATATGAACTCAAAATAAAGACATCAGAAAGAATGTAAATAGGTTCATTGAATGCATATGAGAACATATCTCTATGTGTACAAGAGTGGTATGATAAATATGTTGAAAAGACGGTGGCAATTAATGCTGGATTCAGGTAATTCAGTAGAACATGAAACTTTGTCCAAAAGCAATAGCTGAAGAAGTAAGATACTTACTAAGTCTACCCTGACATTTTTGAATGAAAAAACAAGCAAGTAAGTATAAAACAAAATTTAAAAATACTATTAATCTTGTATTGCTTAGAGTAGGCTTTTCCTTATAAGTTATCAACATTCCTTGAAAAACTGAAGTCATCTTGTTAAGGAATTACTACTTGTTGGTTTCATCTATTTGATTAACATTTTTTCCTTAAATCTTTAATAGTTTGTTTTTCTTAGAGTAGATTTAAGTTTACTGAAAAATGATGCAGAAAGTAGAATTCCTACATATTTTTCCCTCCACTGTTTCCCTTATCATTAACATTTTGCATGAGAGTAGTACATTTGTTTCTATAAATGAACCAGTATTGTTACATTATTATTAACTGAAGTCCATAGTTTACATTAATGTTGTGTGGGTTTTGTCTCAAACTTGTCTTTTTTTATAAAGTGAACAAGTTTCACGTATTAGAGATACACAGTTTTAAGAACTTGTCATTTTTCTACCATTACAGTTCATACAGAATAATTTCCCTGCCTTAAAGAGTTCCTGTGTTCCACTTATTAATACCTTCTCTTTCCCAACACTTCGCCTCCTTGGCCCTATGTCTTTTGCTATCGATAAAATTTTGCATTTTAAAGAATGCCCTGTGTTTGGAGTCATAGAATATACATCCTTATCAGATTGGCTTCTTTCATTTAACAATATACATTTAAAATTCTTCTATGACTTCATTTATGGCCTAGTAGATTCTTTACTGTGTTGTCAAATAATACTTTACTTTCTGAATATTACATTTATCCATCCATCTATGTAACTGTATCTTTTTTTAAAAAAGCTTTTTTATTTATTTGAAAAGTAGTTAGAGAGAGAGAGAGAGAGAGAGAGAGAGAAAGCTCTTTCATTTACTGTTTCACTCCCCAAATGGTCCCAAAGGTCAGGGCCACATGCTGAAGCCCGAAGATTGCAGCTCCATCCAGGTCCCCTATGTGGGTAGCAGAGGCCCCAGCACTTGAGCCATCTTCTGCTGCCTTTCCTGGTGCATTAACAGGGAGCTGAATCAGAAGGGGAGCAGCCATGACTGTTTTAGTTGCCCATATATAATACGGATGTCCCAAGCAGGGGCTTAACCCGGTGTGCCATAATGCCAGCCTCTGAACAGAGATCCTGATTGCTTCCACTTTTTGCGAGTTATTTTTAAAATATGGGACTATATGAAATGGGAAATTTTTTGCTCTTTATTCTGTGTCTTCTTTTACATGGAATACAAAGGTCAAAAGACCTTTCAGGTAAGTAGTAATCCCACGTTAAGTGACCTAAAATGATGTTCTGTAAATGAATCTCTAAATAGAAGTTACATTAGAATTACCAGAGGTGAAGTGAGGATGAAACTGTTAAAAAGTATATTCCCAGCTCTGATTCTGATCTACTGAATTAAAATATCTGAGATTGAAGCCCAGGTATCTATTTTGTAAAAAAATCTCCTCATATGGTGTCTACCCTCAGTCAAGTTTGAGAAGATGACCACTTTTGCAATTGGGCTTTTCTTTTTTTTAAGATTCACTTTATTTGAAAGGTAGAGTCACAGATAGTGAATGACAGAGAGAGAGGCCCTCCATCTGCCTGCTCACTCCCAAAACAGCCTTAATGGCTAGATGCAGGCCAAGCCTAAACCAGTAGCCAAGAGCCTCCCCAGGGCCTCCCAAACAGGTGCAGGGGCCCACGCACCCTGGCTGTCTTCTGCTGCTTTCCCAGGTACATTACCAGGGAGTTGGATCAAAGTGGAGCAGCCAGCAATCAAAACTTTGCCCATATGGGATACTGGTGCTTCAGGCAGCTCAACCCGCTGCACCACAACACTGGCCACAGGCTGTGTTTTTAACTCTTTTTCTCTCCCTTTCTTTCTCTGCAACTCTGCCTTTTCAATAAATAAATAAATATTTTTGAAAAACAAGCTGGAGGCGGTGCTGGCTCTGGTTCAGCAAGTTAGGCTACAGTGTGCTGTGATAGTGTCCCATGTTGGCGCCCATTCAAGTTCCACTTGCTCCACTTGAGATCCAGCTCCCTGCTAATGGCCCAAGTCCTTGGGCCTCTCTGCACCCATGTAGGAGACCCGGAAGAACCTCCTATCTCCTGGTTTCCACCTGGCCAAACCCCAGACATTGCAGCCATTTGGGAAGTGAGGCGGCTGATGGAAGATCGATTGATGTCTTTCTGTCTCTCTTTCTGTAACTCTGTCTTTCAAATAAATAAATACATCTTTAAAAGGATAGTGTGTGCACTTCTGGAAATTTCAGTGCTAGAAAGAAGAGAGTGTAATTAAGAGTTTGTGGTCGGCTGATGCCGAGGCTCACTAGGCTAATCCTCCACCTGCGGTGCCGGCACCCCAGGTTCTAGTCCTAGTTGGGGCGCCGGATTCTGTCCCGCTTGCTCTTCTTCCAGTCCAGCTCTCTGCTGTGGCCTGGGAGTGCAGTGGAGGATGGCCCAGGTCCTTGGGCCCTGTACCCACATGGGAGACCAGGAGGAAGCACCTGGCTCCTGGCTTTGGATCGGTGCAGCGCGCCGGCCGTAGCGACCCCTTGTGGGGGTGAACCAATGGCAAAAGAAGACCTTTCTCTCTCTTTCTCTCACTGTCTAACTCTGTCTGTCAAAGAAAAAAAAAAAAAAGAGTTTGTGGTTGGGGCTTATGCTGTGGCACAGCAGGTTAAAGCCCCAGCCTGAAGTGCCAGCATTCCCTATGGGTTCTGGTTCTAGTCCCACTGCTCCTCTCCCAATCCATCTCTCTGCTATGGCCTGGGAAAGCAGTAGAAGATGGCCCAAGTCCTTGGGCCCCTGCACCCTTGTGGGAGACCCAGAATAAGCTCCTGGCTCCTGACTTTTTATCAGCTCAGCTCCTGCTGTTGCAGCCATTTAGGGAGTGAATCAGCAGATGGAAGACCTCTCTCTCTCTGTATCTACCTCTATCTGTAACTCTTTCAAATAAATAATTAAAAAAAAATAGAGAGTTTGTGATCAACCTAAGGGAAAAAAACTAGAGAAATGAACTGAGTATTTGGGAAAATATTTCCTGATTGTAGGTTGTTTATCTCTAGCATTCTTTGAGAAAGAAAAATAAGAATGTTAGCTTGGATCATTTACTTACCCTGTTTTTCTCCACCTTCCTATAAATACCTATTAGAATTACTAGACTGTCTTAAACATATTACAATATTCTTAAATGAAGCTTGTGGATATTTTCCCGTTAAAACTTGTAATTTGCTACAGTTCAATAACAGTTAATATATATGTAATTAGTGAGACGACCATTTATTTCTGTATTTTAGATGCTATCCTCTTTTTTTTTTTTTTCCAACAAAACGTATTGCTTCGGGGTGTGGAAATTTAAGTCAGTTACTGATTGCATTTTCACTCATAGCAGAAATTTTAGATTTGAAAGCCAAAGCTTTCATTGGTATAAGCCAGACTTCTTAATAGAATAAAGATATTTTTGAGAAATAAAAAGAAAAAAATCCTGAAAAGCATTGAAACAAAATCGTGTCTCACAGGAAAGTGGAAACACAATGCAAAATGATCTACTGGTAAACACACAAATGAAGACCTATACACATCCATGCACTAGTGGAAGATCTGAGATGTTGGCGATAAATGAGAAAGTAGACCAATGATAATAAACTTAGATATTTTCAAGAAGGCTTAGATCCCTGCCACCATAATGCCCCTTCAGCTTGAAATTATAAATCTGTAGGATATTTTTGAGAAATTCAAGAGGATAGAGAATTATTGTGTTATTTTTCAAGGTGTAGGCCTGGGAAACGACAAGACTTAAAGAAAGTCTTCACTGTGGTCTTCAAGACAGCTGTCAAGATGCAAGTGCCTGGCACAATGAGTATGACGGTAGTAGGGGTGTGTTGGGGTACAAGGGGTGGTTTAGTGAGGGGAGGGGCACTTTTTGAACTGGTGCAACAGGAATCACACAAGTGCTGGTATAAATCTGGGGGAACTTAAGGTGTCTAATCATTCAAAAAGAAGAATGTGGAATGTATGGTTGAAGGTAATCAGACAGAGGCTCTTGCAATATAGCAGGTATCAACTTCCATGACAGACACATACTGATGCGGAGAGACAAGGAAGTTTTATCCAGGTGAGAGTAGAGGTAGGTGTCAATGAGGCCAGATGTCTTCTTTTCCACTTATATCTTATCCACATAGAGGCCTTTCCTCTGAACTGCATTACCTTTGCTGGAAAACAAACAAAAACAAAAACAAAAAAAACTTCTGCTAGTCCTGAATTTGTCCAAGTATTTGCTTGAAAAAGAATTAGAATGTTCAATGATAGTAAATATGAAATCCACACCTGTTACATTAAAATTATATCCCCAGGAAATGTATTTAAAGATTTAAATTTATATCTTCTAGGTATACTAAGATCATAAAAACAAATGCATGGAGTGGGCTTCTGGTTGCAGTTAAGATGCCATTTGGGAGGCCTGCATCCTATATCAGTCTCTGGGTTTGAGTCTCAGCTCTGCTTCCAACTCCAGCTTCCTACTAATACACAAACTTGGAGGTGGCAGGTGATAGCTAAGATAATTGGCCCATGTCACCCACTTGGGAGACTAATGTTGAGTTCCAGTCTTTGGACATTGACTTGGCCCAAATGTACCAGCAGATGCAAGATCTTTCTCTGTCTGCCTCTGTCTCTATGCCTTCAAATAAAATGAAAATAAATAAATGAAATTTAAAACAATAAAAGAATTACACAGTTTGGAAATCTTCTACATTTTCCATTTATTATACATCATACCCTGATTTCATTTATATCAATTGTAATATGCACATATAGAAAGAAATGTCCTTGGTGCTGGCATTATGGCACAGCAGGTTAGGACACCACTTGTGAGATCGGGATCCCATATCAAAGTGCCAGTTGTGAGTCTTAGCTATTCTGTTTCCAGTCCAGCCTCATATTAATGCCTGTGAGAAGACAGTAGAGAATTGCCCAATTACTTGTTACCCTGCCACCAATTTGGAACACAAGGTGGAGTTCTTGGTTTCAGCCTGACTCAGATTTAGATGTTGTAACTATTTGGAGAATAAACCATGGGACGGGTGATTCTCTCTCTCTCTCTCTCTCTCTCTCTCTCTCTCTCTCTCCCTGTATCTCTGCCTTTCAGGTAAAAAAAAAAAGAAATCTCCTTATAAAATAAATAAAAAGTAAATAAATGAATCATCATGGGAAACATATCAATAATGATATCTAGTGTAGATATTAAATTCATATAGTTCTCTTATTGATTTCAGATTCCACCACCTACTGCTAACTCTGGATTTTCTCAACCATAACATATAAATAACAACTACCTTGCATTAAAAATATATGCCAAGCACTTAGAGTAATGTCTGGCACACAGCAAATATTAAATATTATTAATCTCATTGTTATTATTTTATAAGTTGCCCTTTATATAAATCAGTGTCATAGATTCTTATCTATGATTCTTACAGTCAGAGAAATCAATTCTCATAAATTATTCATGGTCTGTATTGAGAGTTCTTTTCTATAAGCATACTTTTAAAGTTTTACGTCAGCAAAACTTATAATCATTTCTATTAATTATCATTTATTATGAGTTTCCATTATTTATGTATGTAGAAAAATTATATCAGTAATCTCTTTTTTCCAACTGACATTATTATGACTCAGGAGAAAATGATCCTGAAAGATGATCTAGGTAGTTCTAATAGCTCTTTTTGAATCTCAGATATACTTGAGCCACTGTCTAGATTTATCTATTGAGTAAATGGCCCATGAAGGTATGTATGGGTAGGTAATCAATTGATGGAAGCAAATAATTCTATTGAAACATTTGCGATTTATTTTTGATACAGCTCTTTTAAACAGACTGATTAGTTTCCTTTATGATTTTACATTTGAATGCACACACTATTTCATTCTTTGTCATTGTTGCATGACATTCCATTTGGCAGTTGGCTTATTTTTAGCCAGACTATCAAAGTATTTCTCAACTGGACTGTCACTGCACTTGAACTTGGAATTTTGTAGCCTGAATAACTGCACTGTAGAAAAGAAAGAACTGCTCGCAAATGGGAAATTATAAATCTAGACCAACTCAAACTTGTACTGGTAATTATTCTTACTTCTTTAAATGTAACATGGTTAAATTATAGTCTCAATAACTAATAATTCAGTAGAATATGTGTTAATTTTTTAACAGAGGTTAAGAGTGCATTAAGTGAGTGTTGGAAAGATTATTGGAACTCAGATTATTTTTTCTGAAAATTCTTTACAGAAAACATAAAATTTCTTATAAAATATTATTTTAGCTCCCTGATATAATCTTATAGAAAAATTTGCAATTCTGCTGAATTTAGAATTATATCTTAAGTATATAGTATTTAAAAACTCCAATAACTAGAGATTGCTATAATTAAAATGCAATAAAATCAAATGAAATAAGTCAAATGTATTCTCCTATGTAAATATATTATCCAATAGCAAATGGATTCTTAATTACGACAATTCAATCTGATTGCATTTTAAATATAAACATCTGCATTTTAAACCCACAATCAATAATTTAAGTATTGTAGAATACAGAATAAGAATCAGATTTTTGATTACTTGTATGTTATGATCTGTGTCTAAATTCTGTAATACATAGCTATGGATCAGTTCCATTTGTTTTTCTTTGTTAGATGAATGGAAGAAGAAAGTCAGTGAATCTTATGTGACTATAATAGAAAGATTAGAAGATGACCTGCAGATCAAGGATAAAGAGCTTACAGAACTAAGCCATATATTTAGGTAAGTTGTCTTGCTTCTTTTTATAAGTGATTTTATTATTTATGTTGTTGTTAGATGTATCCCTATAATAAGAAAAGAAAATCTATACAAATTCAGATAAACACAGTCATGTTCGAAAACTTAAAATATCAGGTTAGTGCTTCTTTACTACTCGGCTCTCAAAATGCAAGCATGTCACCTTCTTCAAATATGACTTGCATTTTCTCCTCAGAAAAGTTTGCAAAGAGAGAAACCTAGGTGCTAGCCTTTGACTACAAGTTGTTGCTAATATGAATAATCTTTTGTGGAGCTAGACCCTTCTTTTAAGCCATGCCAGTAAAAAACAGCAAGACTTTTCTCCCAAAATGCTAGTAGCACACTGGCCACATCACTCTTTTTGGACTACAAAGGTAAATTCAGTTTTAACAAACCCTTTGGTCTCCTGATATTGAAAGACTGTCCCTTAATAGACCCGAGTACATTCTGCCTTCTGAACAGTCATATAACAGCACGTGGGGTTTGCTTCAGGCTTTCAGGGGGTTTTGTTCTATGATGACAGGAAAAAATAATCTGGAGTGGTATCACAACCTTAGAAGACACAGAATGCTCAGAAAGGAGGATGTGTGATCCTTACATATGCAAATATTTTGGAGAAATTCCATCTGACATTGAGGAACTATGCACTTTTGGTGTAGTTGGCTGCCTGACCGAGGAAAAGTTCCCTAAAAGCCAACTAGCCAAGTTCACCTTCAGGTGTTTCATTCATGTAATACCCTTCATTTTACTTGAAAAATAAATTTAAATCAAATATTACATTACATATTTTTTAAAAATTTAGATATAGTGAGCATATAAATCTCACATAAAAAGCAGATATAATCATCCATGTAATGTAGTTTATATGAATCTTGTCAATGTAGATAATAAGACTTTTATAAATGTTCAATACATGTTTGGAAAATAAATAGTTGATTCTTTCTGTTTGGCCAAAATGATGAAGTGAACACTGACAATTGTGATAAGATGCCTCTGGACTGACTTTTGCAAGTAGTATCATGCTCAGGTACAGTAAAACATTTGAAAGCCCTGAAGAGATCAATGTGAATGACACTTCAGTATAGGAGATTATACATCATGTTTATTTTGTTGGAAAAGAGACACAAGTATAAAAATCATAAGCCCCAAAGATCTTTCATATGCTGAATGAAAAATAATTATATTGAAGAGTTTTTCTTCAATTTTATAATTAATGCCTCATTTATTTATTATATTTTAATCAGTAAATATTGTGAATATATATCAAATCAGAAAAATTAATTTGAGATATGTCTTTTCTTATTCTACCTTAAAAATTACCAGTAATCTTTACTACTCCTAGAATAATTTATTTTTCTTATTTTCCACTACATGTAACAAAAATGAGACATTTTTACTGACTAGTAGTTAGAGTGAGGGGCAGAGTTCAGTGTCAGAGAGCTTACAGTCCAGAACTTGCTGAGTGCCAGCCATATTAAGATGTTTCTCTAGACATATCAAATGTAAAGCATTATTTAATCTTCACCATTGTCCCATGTGGTGGCTAATGTTTAAGTTAATGGATAATAAACTGAGGATTATGGACAAGAAAATTTGACTTATCAAGATCATACCATCAGTAAATGCTAGAATGTGATTTGTAGGAATGTCTGCTGACTTCTTAGAACTCTCTCTAATAAACCCTGCATTTTTTCACCTTGATTCAGGAGTTCACAATGTGGTTGAGGGGAAAAGCACATATATAAACAGGATTCACAGAAGACAGGCAAAGTAGACAGTGCTAAGCAATAGGAAAAAAAATGATGGTTTTCAAATGCAGAAAGATTATTCTCTAGATTTATTCATCTATTTTTAAAAAGTGTTCTAGATAAAAGACTTAGGCAAGTGAAAGTATATAGGCAGCTGGCACCGCAGCTCACTAGGCTAATCCTCCGCCTTGCAGTGCCGGCACACCGGGTTCTAGTCCTGGTCAGGGCATCGGATTCTGTCCTGGTTGCCCCTCTTCCAGGCCAGCTCTCTGCTGTGGCCCAGGAGTGCAGTGGAGGATGGCCCAAGTGCTTGGGCCCTGCACCCCATGGGAGACCAGGAGAAGCACCTGGCTCCTGCCTTCGGATCAGCGTGGCCGCAGCGGCCATTGGAGGGTGAACCAATGACAAAGGAAGACCTTTCTCTCTGTCTCTCTCTCTCTCCCTGTCCACTCTGCCTATCATGTCTCTCTCTCTCTCACTGTCCACTCTGCCTGTCAAAAAATAAAAATTAAAAAATTTAAAAAAATAAAGTATATAGGCAAGAATGGATGAATACCATGGGAAGTTTTAGAGAGACAAGGAAAAGTAGTTACTTGACTATGTAGTCTAACCTAAAATTCAGGTTCATCTATTTGCAAGCTGTATACACTTGGATGTATTTCTTAATCCTCTTTGAGCCTCACTTGCATCTGTAAAATTCAGTGAGTTGTAACTACCTTACCAGGTATTTTTGAAATGATATCAATTTAATGCTGAGTACTGAGTCAATATATTCAAGACACTAAATAATTGGAGGTTTCCATAATCATGGTTAATTGGATAAATAAGGATAGTTAGGAAGACAGAAGACTTCATAATGGAGTGGGAGTAACATGTAGTTTATTAAAAGGTAGGAAGTGAGAAAGTTAGGATAAAATGTTCCTCTATGAAAGAAGGTGATGCCAAAATTAAAAATGTAAAATGTTATAACTCAGTTTGAAAACAAAATCTAAAATATGTGTATAGCATTACAGAGATTTTGATTGAAAGGGATTAGAAGAATTTTGAGGCTGGAATATTAGAGGCTCATCAAAATGGATGTCAAATTTCCTGTGACTCATCATGTAGGGAAGCCTTGTGCTAATACCATTAAGGAAGCCACAGATATGTCGCAGGAGCCAACAGTGACAGTGTTGAAGATGAGGAGAGGATTGCCACACTCTGGAATCTGGTTTCTCCCAAGGTTGAAGTTTCCTGTTTTAGCGTAGCCTACAGTACTTGCTAAATTTTCAGAACCCATGACTCAGCCCTGTGTTAAATGAATCAGAATCTCTGAGGAAGACTTCCAGAAACTTGAATTTGTAACAAGCTCCCCAGGTAGCACCTATGCATGATAAAATGGCACTTCTGCTGAAGTTTGAAAACTACACTTCTAGAAAGATACCCAAGTTGCACTGAGAGCTCTTTGCCTGAGAGGTTATTGGTGAAGGGATGAGGGACATGAGAACAGAAAACCAGCAATTGGTATTATCTCTGGAGAGCCAAGACAGCAAAAAACAAACAGATAGAAAGTACTCTGCTTTGCCTGACTCCAGCAAGGCAGAACATTATCTGGAAAGAGAGTCAAATATTTCTAGGGCAGAGTTGTGAGAAGGTTATTTTCTTTCAGATAAAATGATGGGTGATGAAGTAATATGTGCTGAGAGTATGAATTTCTCATTCCTTATCTTGTCCACAAAAATTTCCGGGATAGTTGGTAATATTAAACATGATTTTGTATAAAAACACATTTGGGTATATATGGCATTTTAGGTTCTAAAAATAAATGTAAAACCTTTTTGTTTCTCGTGTTTATCCATGTCTTATATAATGTAAACAGTGCTTCTGTGATGAGCAACTATGTTATCCTACCTGACATCAGTCTTTTTCTAAACATGAAAATAGCGTGGAAACCTTATACAAAGCCCAAAAGGGGGTATTTAACAACAAAGTTGCAAGTGAAGGGTCACCAATGTAAATATAAGCTTGCTTGTTTTTCTTTGTTTATTTACTGAATAATTTATTTATAGCATTCCTGGTAGATGCTAATTCCATTTATTAGAAGATATTTTCTACTATATATGCACTAGTGCTCTTGCCAGGTTAAATGGATACCTTCCTGATATAACTTTAATTTACAGTACAATAAAGAACAGTATATACTGGGGCTGGTGCTGCGGTGCAGTGGGTTAAAGGCCAGATCTGCAGTGCCAGCATCCATGGTCATCACAGGGATGATCCCAGATCAATCTGGGCATTCATGAATTTTGCATTTCCGTGTCTCACTTGGAGTGCCTGTTTAAACACTCAATGAGAGATGTACCATTTTCAGGTGTGGCCTCCACAAATCTCCCTACATACACTTTCCTCTTTTTCACAAGAATGCTAACAGCTCTCAGAGAACACTTGGAAACCATTTAGTGACAATAGCAGACTTCTAAATGACTATGTGGAGAACTACATGTCAACCTATTTACCCAGTGATAGCGAGCAATGAATTCTGTTGCATTTAAAGCATAACAAATTTGTGAGTCAACTTGTTAACAACGCTAGAGTTACCCTCTTAAAGTTACTAAGAAGAAAGACTTGCTAAAGAGATATAATGAACATTAGAGTAAACTGAAATCGAACATCTAGTATCCATTCTTGTGACTTGTGGGTAGGAAGGGACAGCATGGAGAAAGCAGTTGTAAGTGGGAAAATGATGCAAAGAAAGTGGGACAAATATCTCAATTGGGTTTAAATCAGGTTTTCAACTTTGACACGACTAGCAGTCAGGCTACAAGTGGTAAGGTGCTCTTCAAGAGCCAGGGTAAAGTGTCAGCACTGTAGAAGGCAATAGCAGGCCTCACCAGAAGCCATTCAATGGACATTAAAGGTCAAGATGTTATTGGAGCATATTTTTAGGATCAACACTCATGAAGAAAGGCAGGAGGCAGAACTGAGCTGGGAGGAAGATGGGTTGTAATGCGGTCTGCACAAAAACTCGCTGAAGCTCAGTGGATCTTTAGAGTTTTCCAAGCTGGATTGAGAGGACTGGGCTTTTATATTTGCAAAAAAGAAAAAAAAAAAAAAAGACTAGTCATTGGATTCTGGATTCTGGCTATAGCCTGAGAATGACACACAGACAAGGCATCTGTCTTCAGCCAAGAGTCACATTCCCTATTCCACTCCACCATTCTGCTATACCCTCCGTATTAGAACTGCCCCTGGTGGTGG